GCTGTCTTCCACTTTTTAGAAATCGCGGTTTCTACATATCAGCAAATACATGAGGAAGAAGGAGAAGGAGAAGGAGAAGGAGAAGGAGAAGGAGAAGGAGAAGGAGAAGAAGAAGAAGAAGAAGAAGAAGAAGAAGAAGAAGAAGAAGAAGAAGAAGCCATTTTTAATGGACAAAAAAGTTCAATTAAGAAAGAAAATAGGAAGAGAGGAAGGAAAAATGAGAATTTAAGATGTAATAAAACAACCAAGAAAAAGAAAAATAAGGTGAAAAAAGGTACAGTGTTAGAAAGCAACAGAAAAGAGAAATACAACAGAGAGGGGAAGTTAAAAAGGTGGAGGTTAGGAGAGGGGGGGGGCAAAAAGACCAGACTGGAGAAGAAAGTGAGGGGAAAAGGGGAAAAAAGCCACAAAGGCCTGAAACAAGATACAAAAAAAGCAGATTTTTTTCAGAGATAAAGGATAGAGTATAATTAAAGAAAGATTCTGCAAGAGTACATAAGATAGTATTGTAGTATTTGCATTTGAAATAGTCCACTGGAATATTATAAGATTTAACAAAATATTAAAATATTAAAATGTTTAATAATGATAGATCTCAATATTCAATAAAATATTAAAGAGAACGTGTAAAATGATTAATGTTTAGTTATAGTTTAATTTGTTATTGTCTTAATGTTATTATAAATTTACTATTTCATTTTCTTATTTTAAAATAATGTATTAAGTAGAATTAGAATTAGAATGGAAATTATATATTTAACTATATTATAAATTTATTATTCTTTTATTTTAAAATGCAACATGTAGAATGTACTAAGCAGAATCAGAATGGAAATTATGTATTATTTTAAGTGTTAATTTAGGGGAAAGATAGAAAGGCGTCACACTTTAAAAGTGATTACAGGGGAAATTTTCTGTTAAAGAGAAGAGATAAATAGATAATTGGAAAAGAACGGACAAAAGATACAAGTATAATGATTTTAAAATAAGATGAAATAAACAAAATATAATTAAGAGAGTGAAAAGAAGGGAGAAGTTATATAGAAAATATAGAATGGTAAATAAGATAAGAGTGGTATATAAGGTGAGCATGAATTTGATTTAGGTCTGTAAAAAAAGATGTAACCCGGGGCTAAGCCACTTTTCAAAAGAAGTTTTATGTTTTGTGTTTTGGTTAGCTATGTTTGATTGAGAATTAATAAAACCTTGGAGGAATAAAACTAAAGGGAGAAATAATGAGAAATTTGGAAAAGACATGTACAAATGAAAATTAAGGAGGTTTTATGTTTTTATGTCTTGTTTTATGTTTTGTATTTTGTGTGTTTATGTTTGATTGAGAATTAATAAAACCTTGATAGAAAGAAATATAATTGAATAAAAGTGAAGGGAGAAACAATGAGAAATTCGGAAAAGATATATAGGTGTTTAAATGGAAATGTGATAATTTGGAACTATGCTGTATAAATGTTTATATTTGATTGAGAATTGATAAAACCTTGATAGAAAGAAATATAATTGAATAAAAGTGAAGGGAGAAATAATGAGAAATTTGGAAAAGATATATATGTGCTTAAATGGAAATGTGATAATGTGGAACTATGCCTTAAAAAATAATGTTTTATTTGCCTTGTTAAAACTTATAAGTAATTTTTAGAAAGGAGGTTTTATGCCTTTATGTCCTATGTTTTGTTTGTCTTTAAAAAATCAATAAAAAAGTGCAAAAAAAAAAAAAAAAGAAATTAAGGAATACATGTGTGTTTCATGTTACAAGTTAATCATAACCATATTTGCCTTTTAAATGGGAAAACTGTTTCCAATGGGATCATTTCAAAGGTGGAATTTGTTTTTAGAAGCAGTGTCTGAACATGAGAGAGCCAATGTGCCATAGTAGTTAAAATGCTGGACTAAAACTCAGGAGATCATGAGTTCTAATCCTCTCTTAAGGATCAAAGCCTGTTGAATGACTTTGGTCCCAAATCTCTCTCTCTCTCTCCCTCCCTCCCCCTCCCCCTCTCCCTCCTTCCCCTGTGGGAGAAATGTGGGGGGGAGCATTATATACGCCAGGAGTCACCAACCTTTTGAACCTCAGGGACCACCAAACTCATAATTTTCAATCCCACAGACCACTAATATGATTTTTGACCTAAGGTGGCTTTGTGACGTTGGTGAGAGAGAGAGAGATCCAATCTAACCTCGGAGGACTGGATGTTATGTTCCCCCCACCCCCACCCCCACCCACCCACCCACCCACCCCTCTCTCTCTCTCTCTCACACACACACACACAGGTGCCTCACACCCCCACACCCCCTCTAAGGCAGCCACATTCCTAATCTGCTTTTCAGCTCCTGCTTTTCTCAGGGGGAGGGAGAGAGAGAGAGAGAGATGGTATTCTGTGATCCCAAATAAAGAACGATTGATCTGTAGAGACCCTGGGAAAATCCCCAAAAATGTCTGCAGGAAAATTCCCCACCCCGTTTTCCTACCGATCGATCATTCTTTACCATCTCCAGCTCCGTTCTCAGGGAGAGGGAAGGAGGGAGGGAGGGAGGGAGGGAGGGAGGGGGAGAGAGAGAGAGAGAGAGAGAGAGAGACTGACTGACTGACTGACTGACTGACTGGCTGACTGACTTTTGGCTTCATGCAAGTAAAGCAGCAGAAGCAGCAGAAGTCTTTCTTTCTCTCCCCCAAACTCTGCCAGAAATGAGTCTTTGCCGGCGCAGCCTCTTGGAGCAGGATGCCTTGCAGGGTCCCAAAGACTCATTTCTGGTGGAGATTGGGGGAGAGAAAGAAAGATTTTTGCTGCTTTCCTTGTGTTTAGCCAAAAGCAGAAGAAGAAAGAAGCGGAAGGAAGCAGCCCGTTGTCCAGGTGAGGCATGTGGGGCGCGTGGGGCAAGTTCCTCCCCTCCCCCTTTCCCCCCTCCCCTCACTACCTTGTATTGTTCACATCAGTAGGCCGCGGCCCACCGGTTGGTGACCACTGATATACGCCACCTTGAGTTGCAGAAAATAAAGGTAGGGTATAAATATAACAATAAATACAGAAAATAAATGTGTACATTGAATTCTCAAGAATTATTTATTGATTGATTTCATTTAGGCAATACTCAACTCCAGAATGACTCTGGGTGTCTCACAGTGCAACAAACAAGCTTGAAAAAAATAACAAGTTAGATAAAAAAAACCAAGATGATGAATCCAGTTAACAACAGAAAATTGTATACAAAGACACACAACAAGGAACTCTAATAACCCTCATCTGGGAGAACAGCCCTGTTTTATTTTAAGGCCAACAAAAATACATATTTGTATGCTTAACAAAGACTTTCAATGGAGGGAAAAAGTAACTATATCCCTCCTTACCATGGAACAGCCAAATGCTCAAGAGTCTGTGAAGAAAGAAGTGGCCATGTTTGTGGAGATTAGTTACATTCCCAAGTACGAACACTTCAAGAAGAAAGCAAACTTCCCTTTCCTTTATGCTCTGTGTGAGTGATCTGAAATGCCGCCATTGAAAAATCCCCTTAGCTAAAAAAAAATAAATGCCCCCCCCTCCAAAATAAAATAAAATAAAATTATGGACTTCTCAAGAAAACAAGCTGCCTTGGTTTCCTTTTTTCTGCCAAGTAAACACAACTAGCCAGCTAGAATTTCAGCAGGTTTAATGTTTCTCGTAAATGCTCTGAGTTAAGCAGGTGATGTGTTAACCAGAGTGCCCTTGTTGTTCTTTGCTTGTAGACTTTTCTCATATTGTTATGAGATCTATAATAGTTTTCACACTCACGTTAAATCAAAACACAAGGTGGGTCTTTACTGATCACAGTAGTTCTGAAAGCCCCAATGGCTGAAGTCAGCTGAATGCATGAGCAAATGAAGTCCCACCTCAATCTATGTTGGCTTTTCCTATTAAAACGATGCCATTCACTCCTACAGTGTCAAAACTACGATTCGTTTCCTAGGGGGCAACATTTACCTGGCTGGCTTTGGTCTTTCAATCCAAACTGGGAAGGGATCCATAACCCCTCTTTCTGTGATGGCAGGACTAGTGGGATTCCTCTGGATCTGGAGAATAAGGAGGGATGGTCAGAGCTTGCATGGGACCATCAGAGCTGAAAACCAGATGCACCATACAGTCACCCAGAATAGAGGTTGTGGCTTGTGAGAGACTGCACTTTGACCACAATTCTTAATAATCCTTTTCGGCACAGAAGGGGTGCCCTTGAGGCATTGTTGACTCCTGGTAGCTTCTTCAAAAGTAGTTTGCCCTTGTCTCCTTCCTAGGGCTAAAAGGAAGTGACTGGCCCAAGCTGGCTTTTTGACTAAGGCAGGACTAAAATTCCCAGTTTCCCAGTTTCTAGCCTGTTGTCTTCATCACTACTTATCTAAATGGCTCTCTTAATGATGCAGGATCCAATCTGGGTCAATCACGGGGACCCAGAGTTTTGGTCTTCCGAGCTTTTGGACTCGTGCTGGAAGAGAGCAAATTGAAGAGAGAGAAGTATGCTGAGGATGGGGCCCAGCACCGAGTCCAAAAGCTCGGAAGACCGAACCTCTGGGTCCCCGTGATTGACCCAGATTGGATCCTGCAACATTATCCCAGTACATGTATATTTGCTTTTTCTTAATGGTCTTTACAATATAGAAAGCATAAGTTTCCTGGAGATACCTCTCTTGCTTGAATACAAACAATTTTAAAAGTGGCATTCTAGCCTACCCCGGAAGGCCACTCACTAAATAATGAAAAATAATTCTGTTGACCACAAGGTTTTCTGAAAGGAAGGGGTACCTTCTAGGCCTCTGAGCATAAGGGTGGTCTTATCAGAGTGGGTCTACTTGCAATGTAGGAGTCCATTTAACAGAAGACAATTTAAAGGAATAATCAAGGAGGCGTGAAGAAGGAGAGAAGGAAAGCTATAATCCCACACCTTAAAAAATACTTTGGTCCCAAAACTCTTTCCTGGTCTCTTTAAGCGCCAACAAACAAACAAACAAACAAACAACACTTCTGTCGCGCTGAGGTGGATCTGCCTGCCTTTCTCCTTCTCCTCCTCCTCTCGGTTCCTCCCCCGAAGGTTGTCCCTCGGATCCTGTTCCTGGGACTCCGCCAGGTACCTGCCTCGCTCAGCAGCCAGATGTTGCAACCGCCACCCCGCTTCGGACTCTGTCGGCTGCAATCTCATCCGTCTCCAGACCAGACTGGAGCTGGCCTCCAGCAGCCGGGCAGAGGGGAGGAGGACGAGGATCAAAGAGAGAAAGAGGAGGAGGAGGAGGAGGAGGAAAAAGACCACGACGACGACGACCAGAACCGTCCCTTCAGGGATGCGCTGCTGAGACTGAGCCAGCCCAGCGATGGGGATGCTGCTGCTGCCCGGAGACCGCGGCTTTTTCCCTAGGCTCTGGGCTGCGCTCCTCCGCAGAATACGCGGAGAGAAATCCTGGGCCAGAAAACTTGACGAAACCAACCTGTTGCAACAGAAAAGGTGGGTCCAACCTAGGACATTTCAGATCCTGAAGGCAGATGGGGAAGGAGACGTGCCGCGAGTTACTGAGTTTAATATGAAAAGAGAGTTTCCCAGGAGCGCGTGCAGAGAGAAGGTTGGCGAAGCGCGTCCAGCAAAGGGTGTGGGTGCGCGTGCGCGCGCACACACACAATTTTTACAAGCTCCTTCCTTGGTGTTCGGAGAAAGAAAGACTGGCCACACATCCGACTTATTATACCTGGAAGGGGAGGGAAAAAAACTTTTAAACCCTTTTTTGCCATCGGGAACAGGGTAAATACCTGGGCAGAGGAAAAGCTGTAACCAGATCCCTGTAAGTCCAGCTTGAGTGCACCTGCTGTCTGGAAGGCAGACAAGGCTGCATTCTGGGCCACAGGCAGCCAAGCACACACTTGGACCTCTTTTCAGAACTCTGTAGTGGGACACAGAGAGAAGAGGGCAGCCACAAGAGGGTGAAAGATAAAAGGTTCTTTCTTTCTTTCTTTCTTTCTTTCTTTCTTTCTTTCTTTCTTTC